TGCCAGTAAAAAATTATTGGGGCACTTTATAGATGAATGTATGATTGAAAATGAATTTTGAAAAAATGGGACTCAAACAAGTGCTTAATCTTTTAGTTGTTACATTTTGAAAAATTAATTTTGTCATTTCTTATTGTAATTAGTATTTAATCTTAATTCTTGATGCAGTGTGTACAAATATTTAAAAAGAAATATCTTATTAATTCCCCATAAAGCGAAAATATGTATGTCATGAGTCATGACCATCATAATTTTTTGACACCTGCTCGTTCAATTATCAGAGTAGCAATATCGAATAAATCTTCTCAAACAGGGCCCCTGTTTTTCCAAGGGGGACACATGTCCCCCCTATAGGCAAAGTGCTTGTGGGTAGCCCTGTTTATATAGCACTGCTCAACAATATCTCGTCCTGTCATCAAAAACTTGTGCTTTTATTATTTTCTTAAGCCATTGGATAGTTATCACATGAAGATCAACCTTATATATGCTAACTGTATATTATGTTATAGAATTGGATTACTTAAAAGTATTTGTTAAGAAATTTGATATAATATTATATATTACTATCACGAGAATTTATGTTTTATATAAGGGCATTTGTAAAAATATCTAATTTCACATATGTCAATTCAAAAATGTCCACTTTTGATAATCTTCGCAAAAATGGCCAAATTTGATATCAAATTTTCTATTTTACCCTTAATGAAAGAATAAATAATTATCAACTTTCTTTTGCAAGTTGACACTGATATTGAGAAGAGCAATGGCTTCTATGAAAAGCCACAATAATTCTTGCTATTACCTGTGCTTGTCCACTTGCCTATATTTTTCTTTAGATATTAACAAATTATTTTAGGAAAATTGAAGAACGAGAAATAGCAAGCATTAACAACCAGAAAAAAATCTATGATTTCTACTTCAAAAAAAGAAATAATTTTTTCATGTCGATAAATTTAATGTCATCAAAATTTGAAGTTGACTAGGCCCTCCTCGTTTCTGGGCAAAAGGTATTTTCCTTTGAAATCCGTTGTTGTTACATATTTGATTTTAATGTGATAGATTGTCCAAACGAAAAGAAGATATTTGTCATAACCTTTTTACATTACTTAGTTACATATTAATTAAAGGTGCTCTTGTAGTTAAAATGTCATTAATGATAGCATGGTTGAAGATGAAGAAGATGATAAATAACTATGGTGAAGTGGAATCTATCATGTCACTCTCGACATTTTACAGACGTCGAGAATGGTACTTGAAATGCCTTTCTTGACAATTACAAACGTTGAGAATGTTACTTTTAATGTCATTCTCGACATTTGATAATGTTGAGAGTAACATTACAAGTATTATGATGAAATTAGGGAATAATTTTTATATATTGCTTGCGGATAATTAGCATATTTGTTTGAGGTATTCGTTATTAGCTGATACTTTTTTTTTAGGACATGCAGATATGGTTGATGTTATGAGATTCGTTGTCTCATACGGCAATACATTCATCAACATTGACGACGAGTGGAAGTGGTTAGGCAACCGAACAACATCAATTGTTGTTCGACGTGATATTGAATATGAAGAGCTTGTACATAAATTATTTGAGAAGCTCAATGTTAACAGACATAAATTATTTGAGAAGCTCAATGTTAACAGACTGCAGTTTCAAAGTTTCAAACATCAATGTACCCCCTATTGATGCAGCCAACGATGAGGTTTTGCAATGATACATTTCTTTTCACGCACAAGCAACTTTGTGTGTAATTGCAGATGAGTATAATGCTGGAAAGCATGAACTGCATGTGACGAAGTCAGTGTGTGCAAACTACAAGAGCCAGAAATGATTCATAACACAGGTGTAGGTTTAGGTAAAGGAAATTCGTCTATTGAAAATACAATTCAATCGATCGATCAAGAGAAAATTCACTAGAATCAGATATTCCTTACCAAGAAACAGCTGCACACAAGGCTTCGACTAAATGCTTTGAGAAAGAAATTTCATTTCAAGGTTAAAAAGTCCAATCCTATATCTCTTTTAATTAAATACTATTTATATGTTTTTTATTTTATTTTCGTAACTTTCTTTTGTTTAATTTATTATATTTTTTTTGAAAATTGTTTTAAAATTTTTTTTCCTTCATATTGTAAATAATTTTTTTTATTTAAAATTCTTTTTAATTATTTTCCTTTTGTGATATAAATAATACTTTTTTAGTTCAAGCTTTATCAATGTTTATATGAACCTCTATTTACCTTGTCCAGTAACTTCTGCTGAAGTTTTTATCTATAAAATTTTACATTTATTGATAAAAAAATGTATTGATATACCCAACTCTAAAACTCATCAAGTAACAACAAAGGCAAAACTCAACTAATTATCATTATATATTTTCGACTTAATTACAGCATTTCACGTGCATCTTACTAGTATTAATTTAAAATATAATGATCAGAATTGTATTCTCATGCCAATATGGAACTGGTAAAAAGATATCGTATAGATTTTCAAATGTGAATGTTTTAACAGTAGCTGAGTCAACACGAGTTAAGCAAATATGTTAGACATTAAATAACAACCGAAGTCAGTACAACGAAATGCAGTCTATAACATAGAAAACGCAAAAAACAAGAAGACGTTCCTTGCAACATGAAATAGTATTTGCTTGGTTTGTGCATGTTGCAAGACAACAGTGAGAAATATTACAGTTATAAACTATTTTCAGCATGCAACCTTCCGAACATGCCACTAATATATAAAGTACAAGTTCGCATCGACAAAATGTCGGATAGCCAGTCCGGACCGTGAATAAAAATACTGAAATTATAGTCTACACACGCTACACATCTTTCTTACCTATCTTGTGACCCGATCGTATGAATGATGTCTTAGTGTTTGCATTAGGCATCTTCAGCCTTAACGATCAAGGTCTGTGACAATAGTACAATTTGTCATGTTTTCATCCATTTATACTTGTATTTGCATGATATATTGATGCCTAAATGCACTAAGTATCCTTATATTTTGATTTAGGTTGTAAATGGATGAATATAGTGAAATTTAGAAGAAAAGAGGGAAAAAGGACTAAAGTGAAAAAAAGTAAAAGTTCAGGGACAAAGTTGCAAATAATCTAAAGATAAGACGGGATATGGAATGATGATTCAAAAAATATAGGAGTCCATTGGGTGCAATTAGAAGTCAAAAGAAGTTAATTATGACCATAATATTTTCACAAATCAAATTCCGACTGCATAAGGATTTTCTAAATTTTCAATCAGAGGTTGAAATCCACTTTTGACCTAGTAAATGTTTGAATTTGGAAATAGATCTAGAAAAATTGTAGCCCTTTGTGTTAGCTTTTCAACTCACTTTGAATTGCCTTAATAGGACATCAGGAGAGAAAGTTATGGCCAAAATACTGAAAGCGGTCACACAGAACAATTTTTGGCCGAATCTTCAAGTTTCTTTATTCCGTTCAACCTATTTTGGAAACAATTTGGCACTCAATTTTAAACCCTAATTCGACCAGAACATGCCCCCTCATCTCCTATCTCTTTTCTCTCATCTTGGGCACAAGAACTCCATGGAAAACTAAATTAATCGGTGAAGTCACGAAGGAACTCAGTTAGATTTGGGAATTTCAATGTCTTTTATTGCGTGTAAGGTGTTTTTCATTGTTGAACAATCCTAAATCTGGGTTTCCTATGTTAGTGGATATGTTTTGGAATGGGTTAATTCGCAGTAGATTTTTATGAATTCAATCATGTTTTCTTCATTGAATAATCGAATGTTTATTGATTTTCAATTTCAAACAATTTATTAGTGTGATTCTTGACCATTATATGATTGATGTATATAATTGCTTTGGGATCTAATTCAATGAATCATTGTGAAATTATATTGTGAAAGAAACCTAGATTTGACATTACTAAAGAAATTAAATAAGGGCTTGAATGTTTTATTTTACAATTAAAATGTTGGGATGAAAACCTTTAATTGAGTATTCTCATGAAAAATTGACATTGATTGAACCCATCTAATCGAGGCAATTTCGACGCTTCACTATTTCATACATTGATATTAATCCTTTATTCCAATTGATAAATCATCCTCACATAAAATCACGAAAACCCTAGTTTGTTTGATCCTTTGTGAAACTTTCTATCTACCTGTGGAATCAACACCCCAAAGCTATATACAATCATCGCGTTATTCTTTGGGGGTAATCAAATTTTGTCGCTGTTGTCGAAGAGAAGGTACAAATAATCGAAGGATTTTCGAGCAAAAGAGTGACTTCATTCCTCTTTACATTTTTTTGTTAGTTTATTTTCTTAGTTGGTAGTTTATTATTTCTCACAAAACCCTATTTTCGTGCTTTATGAACAAGGATCAAGATGAGTAGGGACGATTCATTGCAACGCTTCCACCACTGTTTGAATCTCCTCCTAACCCTCTTTTTTATACTAAATCTGCTGCACACACATTACATCACATAACGCCATGACGATAGTGAACACGAAGAGGCACCAACTAGGACTTTGCACGATTATGTCTACCCCACACGCACATCTACACATCATGCATCATATTTCCACCTAATATGCCATGTGTGGACCTTAAACCGAGAATAATCCAACTTCTTCCAACCTTTCAATGGTCTTGAAAATGAAAATTCATACGTGCATACTAGGGAATTTGAAGAGGTAGTTGCAACTTTTCACAATCAATGTGGTACAATGGATACGGTCAGGCTTAAATTTTTTCCGTTGTCACTTAAAGAAAGAGCAAAAAGCTGGCTATATTCATTAAAACCATGCTTGATTGGGACTTGGGCTAAAATGACTGAAACATACTTTGGCAAGTACTTTCCCCATGACAAAACAACTGCATTGAAAAAGAAAATATCTTCTTTTACTCGAAAGGAGAGTAAAACTTTATATCAAGGTGGAAAGGGTACAAAGAATTGCAAGTCCTCTGCCCCCACCATGGTTATGAAAGTTAACACATTATGAGTTATTTCTATGAGGAATTATTGCCTAGGGAGCGTCAATTTGTTGAAATGATGTGTAATGGAGAATTTTTGCAAAAAGATCCAGATGAGGCCATAGATTACCTAGATGACTTAGCTGAAAAAGCTCATACGTGGACTAGACCTAGCGCCACTGAGAGTACTAATAGGTCACGACCTATTGGAAACCTGAATAGCACAGGTATTTATCATCTTAGGAAGGAAGACAACCTCAGAGCAAAGGTAGAAGCCCTCACTAGAGAACTTGAAGCCCTATAAGGATTCAAAAACAAATTGACTTGTTTCCCGTGTTGAGTCTTTAGAGCCTTGTTTTGTGTGTGGAGGGAGTGATCACTTAGCACAGGAGTGTGCCACATATGCTGAAATGATAAAAATTTATGAGGAACACTGTAATGCTTTAGGTATATATCAAAAGCCCAACACCTTTTTCTCCGAGACTTACAACCCAGGGTGGTGAAATCATCCCAACTTTAGCTGGAAGTCTGAGAACCAACAACCTGCTCAATCTAATAGAGCTTATAATATACCCCCACGTCAACCCACATCCTCAAGGAATTCCTTAGAAGATACTTTCCCTTAAGCCCTTAAATCCACCTCGAAGTCGACAGCTCAACATAATGAAATCTTAGAACACCTTAGGCAAGTCAAAATCAATTTACCTCTCTTGCACGTGATCTCTCAATTTCTTACATATGCTAAAGTCCTTAAGGACTTATGCACTGTGAAGAGGAAACATTATGTCAAGAAAACTACTTTCTTGACTAAACAAGTGAGTGGGGTAATTGAGCAAAAGATTCTACCCAAGTATAAGGACACTGGTTGTCCCACTATGTCTTGTACCATTGGGAACCATGAGTTTGTACAAGCTCTTCTCGATTTAGGGGTTATTGTCAATTTCATGCCTTATGCTATATACTCAGTGTTAGGTCTATGCGAGATCAAACCTACTTCTGTGGTCCTGTAATTAGCTGATTGATCAACTATTAAACCTAGGGAGTAGTTGAGGATGTATTGGTACAAAATGACAAATTTTGCTATCTTGTGGATTTATTGGTATTAGACTTGAAAGTTGATGTAAATGTTAACTCCAGGATTCTCATTATTCTTGGTAGACCTTTTCTTGTCACAACTAATGCTCTTGTTAATTATAGGAATGATCTAACGAAACTATCATTTGGGAACATGACCTTAGAAGTCAACATCTTTCACATCATGAAGCAACCCGAGGAGGATGATGAGTATCATCAAACATTCATGAATGATGTACTCATTTAGGAGGAAACACCTGCAATTATAGACCTCGACCCTTTGAGCTTTTCCCTTTTGAATACTAAAATTCTAGTAGGATATGATGACAGAGAGTATGCTAATATCTGTGCTACTTTTGATAATTTGCAGGATTATGGAATATCACTGGTGTTTATCTCCAATGAGTTTGGTGGAATGCAAAGAATATTGCAAATGCCCTGGCTAGATGCGGACTGAAAAAGGCAATACTGGGTTGAGCCAATGACAATAAACAAATGCGCTGCTTGGGAGGCAACCCAAGGTGAGTTCGTTCCATTCTCTTTCTTTTTACTTTTATTTTTGCATTCTTTTTAGATTTATTCTATCTCCAGTTTAATTTCATTTTTTGCATCACCCTTTCCATTGAAGACATTTAGGCTTCTTATACTTCAGCTTATGTGATTTACTTCGGCATTCAGGTGAGATCTTTCCTTACCTTTATTTAGCAGACATGATTTTACATTGACGACAATGCAATGTTTAGTTAGGGGGAGAGTTTAACTTGATTATTATTGTGAATTGCATACTTTTCATGGAATTTTGGTCTAAATTTTTTAAGTCCCTAATTTGTTACATGTTCTTAAATAACAATATATGCCACTAGGAATTAATGTTGTCGATGAAATTCTGGATGTTGAGACATTTGCTGAATCCTTTTTGTGCACACAAGCCTTGTGGAAAGATAGTGGTTTAACACATGCAGCTAGAGAAGTTTTTTGTTGAAATTTTCATGTGAGAATTGGTGAGGATTGAGAGCCACAATACATAAAAAATGTAATAAGTGTCAATTGATCTTGTGAATTGGATACTTCTTTTGAGAATAACATTACATGGTCCGTGGTAAAATGGTGGATTATACTTGGGAAATGATGACGGTCAATTTAGGATTAAATTTTTAGCCTTTCAACCCATTTTTCCTACGTTTAATTTCCCCTAGTAGCCACTTGGAGTCAATAGCCATATATATTCATTTCTTTTTATGAGCCTACGTTAACAACACCTCTTTACATTGGAATAAAGTCTATAAACATTCATTTTTCTACCTTTGTGCTTTCAAGTATATAGTAGGTGTTATGCGCTTGGAAGTTCCTTACATTTTTTTTTTTTTTTCTCATATAGCCTAACCCAAACCACATTTTCACCTTCTCTTTGACTATTTTGATACCAAGTATGATTGTGTTAAGAAGTGGATGAATTCTCGTTTGTCATGGTGGGGCACATCTCTACCACAATAGTCCTGAAATCTTCCATACTCGTCGACGACATTGTGTCCCCCAATGCCAGTAGCTGTTTCATCAAACATACGTTGGACCAGATTTACCTCATCAGTAACATGCCTCTTCAAACTGTGCACATGACCACCCATTTCATTTTCCAAACTAGAAAATCTTGTATTCATTTCCTCCCTCAACTCTCCCAACCTGCCCTCAAATGCCTTCCTTTGATCATTCAAGAGAGATCTTATTCGTCTAAAGACACAGGCCTCAGGGGTGGACGATGGTATGAGGTAGAAGATTATGGCAAGTCGATGACCAGGTCGCCATGGTCTTTTTCTCCACCTTCAGTGGGATGCAAATCTCGAAGACGAAATCCACCCTTGTTGCCTCTCCGAAATTTTTGTCTTTGATTGTTATTCACATTGTGCATAGCTTCACCTTCAGGTGGACAATCTTATATGTCTGTCAATCGACCAACAAGGCCGTCTAGAACAGGGTCAGCTATGTCTTGTAAAAGAACCAAACCAGCAACATATGGCTGCAATTCTTGTGCAGTAGTAGCATGCAGAATCGCTCACAAGGGCAGGACAAAAATGACAAAATAAAATATTAGCCATTCAAAAATTATAAGAGCAGTTTTGTATGTAAAATGCTCACATGTGTCTTCTCGAAGAAATCTGAATATGTTCTGGACTCAGGTTGTCTTGTGATAGTCCATCGCAACATCCTTGGAATATCGTCACCCATCTTTGTCCCGAATCGAGCTCCCAACTCTGAAATTGCCTCATACACCCAAAACTTCATGAAAAACATAAAAGTGGTTACTATATACAGAGGCTTATAACAACATGCGATGGGAAAAAATGAAATGAATACGGAGCGTGTGTGCCTGAACAGCAAGAGGAAAACCATACAATGTGTAAGACATCCAATCACAGTCGTAGACCTTTGCTAAGTCTGTCTTTCTCCCCCATCCACTAAGAAGTGATTTGATAAGAAGTCTGAAGCATATTGTCCCCCATGGGTAGGCATTGAAGAAATCCAAGTCATCCATAATGGAGAGAGTTTCAAGATGTATCCCCATGTTTCAGTCTCTACAATTGAATACCCTGTCAATAATGAGCGCTAACCCAAGTTTGTAACGATCCTTACGGTTACCACATTTCAGGAAAACATTCTCGAGGTCACTACACGTTACCCGATCTCTATGGAAAAACAATTTTGTCTCATAGCCGGGTTTTTCCTAGGATGTTGTCAAAATCCTTCCCTTTCGGTACTTCACTACAGTTCAACTCTGTGATTGATGCAAACTCCGATAGTCCGAATCGTGCAAACATTTGGTTCACCTTGAACCAAGCCTTGGATCTTTTTCAACAAACCAACGATCTATTAACCATTTTGTGAATTAATTGCCCAGATAATTTGCATTCCAACAACTTCGTAACATGTCCTATGCAACTTTCGTCGAATATATACTTTTGTTGTGCATCGAATTTGTTGAGGACAACAGATATATATTTGGTGTTGCTGACCTGCTAGACTTGAGTCGAGAAGCACTCTTCCTCCAGAACGTTGTATTGGTGTGAGGAAGTCATTAAATCTCAAAAACGTATGTTAATTCATATGAAAATAATTTACAAAATATGAAGTTATTGAAAATAGAAAGACTTCTATAATCAAAATTCAAAGCCAAAACGTCACAAAGTTTCTAACATCCCTCCATTGACCTTTTTTACTTAGCGTAATTCATATGAGAATAATTTACAAAATATAAATTATTGAAAATGGAAAGAGTTGAATTTTACTCTTCACCGTATGTTAATCTTAAGAATTCTAACAACGAGGTCTACTCACAACACGAATTAGGCAATAATAAACTTATAAGATGAATTTTTCGCATACTTCCAAACTAATAGAACTACCCAACTGACATAGAAAAAAAATAAGAACTAACTATGACAAACCTAATAGAAATTGGTAGTGTTCTGTGAATGAAAAACAACCATTTACATTGTAATTTCAGCATTTTGAGGTTTTATCTTCTCCATAGAAAACCTAATAGAGAACGAGGCATCTACCATTCCAACTCCCAAATCAAACAAAGCTTCCATGTAATGTCCTATGAAAACAAAATGTAAACCAACGTAGCAAAACAAAATATAAACAGGTTTGCTATGTAACGTCATATGAAATCAAACATATTTGCCATATAAAGTCCTATAAAATAAAATGTAAACCTTAACTAACTCAACGCAACAAAACAAAATGGAAACCAACTACACAACATCAAATAAAACTCACATACATCAAATAAACATCGATGGCAAGAACTTCGACGGCGAAGGCAACGGCAAAGGCGGACGGCAAGGAGAGAGGCTGGAAAACGAAAAATTCCCTCAACCGTCAAATTTCAAACCCTCTGGTCTGTCCTTCTTCTCATTAACAGTGAGACCTAATAACTCTAATCCAATTTTTTAGATTTTTAGGCAAGTGGGCATTGGGTATATGGGCTGGGTTAAAGGTTTACTTGTGAGTTTGGGCTACACATTTAATGTGGATTGACATATATACTTTTCAAAAAAAAAAAAAATAGTATAGATTATGTGTCCCCATTTTATTGGCCAACACAATTTTTAATGATTATCCAGAATCTGAATTTTAGTATGGAATTAGAAATTGCTAATGGGGATATTCTTGTCCAAATAACTGCAAAATGGACATTTGACAAATTTTGGACATTTTCGCAATTCACTATGCAAAAATGGACAGTTTTGGTAATTTCCTCTTTTATATATACCGTTCAGGAAAATTGCACACGGGTTTCAAATGTTTCAAAAAAGTAGGATCCAAAACCTTCCATTTTTATTCTCAAGTCCCAAACCTTTAAATTAATATGTTATTTGAGATCCTTTGGACGGTTTCGTCCAAATGACTGCGAGTTGACCCAAAAATTATTTGACCTAGAATTGATCATTCTAGCATAATAATGAGAGTGTCAACCGTCTATAAAAAGGGCATTAACACAACAAGAAAATGGTTTTTAAAAAAAAATCAAAGGGTTAAAAAAGATAAAGGAAGAAAAATTTTAGAGATCCAATCTTTAATTCTAAAATTTCATGTTGGATCAAGGCAAAAATTAGGATCGGTACTCTTGAAAATGTATTCTCCAATTAAAGTGGCCATTCTGACCGAAATTTCGTTGACAACTTCTTTTTTTTCCTTCATAATAATAATAATAATAATAATAATAATAACAACAACAACTCCAAACATGATGAAAAAAAAACTCTGGAGGGGCAAAATTCGACAAAATTTCGATGAAAAACTCTATAGCTAGCATTAAATAGTAATTTTTTTTTTTACTTCTTTGAGGTCAACGATCTTTCCAAGATTTCAATAAGAAGTGAAACATTTATAGTTGATATGATGAGATTTGGATAATCTCCTGGTTAGAAAATACATCTTGAAATTGAGTTATCATTTCAACTTTTGGTTCGTGTTGTCACCTGCGAGGGTATAGATAACATAATATTTGATGCATTTTACATATTCTTTTTAGCTCTTTTATTTCTTCTCCTAATGCTAAGGAAACTTTCTTATTAAGATGATTGTCAACAAATCATGTTCAAAGGCATCGAGATATTTTATAATGAAAGGTTTTCAAATCTAAAATATATTCTCATTATTTATTGAAGACCATTTTTGTGCATTGTGAATAGAGCAATTGGAATAAACTTTGCATAGTTATATTTTTTTAGGTGAATATTAGGCTTTTGACCACAATAAATTGTAATATGAAGAACTTGATGTTGTCATGATTCGTATAAGTATTGTTACTTATATATAATAGCATTTGCAAAACATAAATGAGAAGCATTTTGTTCTCAATAGTAATTATTTTGCAATTGTTTAGTGGCATTCAACAACTGATTGCTAAACCATCTAATATGATTCCCAGGACCATTCAACAATTATCGAAAG